TTCGAATCACAAATTGCTGTAGTTCGAGGAATTTAAACTTGTTACAACCGTATTGGCTGAAGTTAAAAATATACTATAATAGGCTTCCACTGTTAGTGTTACACAATAATAACGGAAATACAAAATTTAATCGTAATTTATATTAACATCGCCATGTAACTTAACGTAATTTAAGCTTTATTAAATATTATAAAAGTGAAACAGGCTGAGCTCGAGATAAGGTCAACACATCGATATACAAACAATGGCACTTGGCAATGTAGAAACAGTGTGAAAAAACAAACTTACATGTTACATACAAAAATAACTGATTAATACTTAAGAGACAATAAATCGAGAAAAAATAATACACGACAAAATGTCTGACCTGAAAAACTCGTACAAAGAAAATGTCGAACTCAATTTCTGGCATTGGCGTCTTCAACGAATGTACGGGTAAGCCTGTTTCCTGGTGCGACAGAATTCATCAACTCCACCCCGACTGCCTTCACTTCCCTCAAGGCTCACGTCATTCAATGGTAATCCCATCTCAACATGTGTTTCATTATAAACAATAAAAGTAACGCCCTCTATCAAATAACACGAAATATATTTGTCAAAAATAGAAATTCATCGATATTTACATAATTCTGCTGTCAAATAATTAATTTAAAAGAATGATTTTTGACGTTCAGACTTTTATATTACCTCGATTCAACTAAATTATTATATTTTATACCTTACAAGGATTTTACTAGGGGACTAACTGCGTCAGTTTTACGATTCCGACCTGTGGGTCTTCAAATAATTTGTATTAGTGTTACGAGCTCTTCATTCCTCTATGTAGATATTGAGCCCTAATACTGTATCTCTACAGGATATCTTATTCCAATTTGTGCACGTATAATAATGAACTTAAATTTTATTTCGTGCCACAATTTGGGCCACTTACATAAACGAAATACCGTAAAAAAATATTAATCGTTCATCCCAAATTATCAAAGTTAATATTTCAATTATTATGGTATATAACGCCACATGCTGGCGTCAGAACTTATGTTTTCGCTTGTTTTGAATTTCGTGCAAAGCTACACGAGGGCTATCTGCGCTAGCCGTCCCTACTTTAGCAGTGTAAGACTAGAGGGAAGGCAGCTAGTCATCACCACCCACCGCCAACTTTATTACTAATGAATAGTGAGATTGGCTAGCACATTATAACGAACCCGCGACCCTCAGATTGCGAGTCGAGCGCTATGACCACCTGGCTATGCCGTGCAAGCACAAAGCTACATAATGGACTATCTGTGCTGTGCCCATCACAGATATCGAAACTTGATTTTTAACGTTATAAGCCTTCGTACTTACCGCTGTGTCATCGATAGGGTGTGGTGTGCAAGATATAAACAAAAATTAAGATATTCTTCTATTATGTTATTAGGTTAAATATCTCTCACTTATATATATATATATACAAACATTTATATTTTGGTGATAAGTCGGCTTATTTTTCTAAAGAACCAGAAGTTTAACACAGAATATATTACTGGTAGGTACTCTACGTTATTGTTGATTTAGAATAATAATAACACACGTTAAAATAGACACAAAATTAAAAAAATAAAAAGTAAATTCTGTGGCCTATCAAATAAAGTTGATTTTACAGGTTTCAACGTCATCATCAGGAGTGAAATTGAAAGACATAATAGTGTCATATTTACACCGTTTATAACTAAGTCATGTCACCTGTAAGTTTACAACACTTAAACAACATTTATTCATGCTGATTTGTTGATTTTTTTTTCAAAGATATCCTAAAACAGAATTAGAAAAACAACAACAACGTTCATACGGTACTGAATATTACCTTGTTTTGTCTAAATATTACCATCACACGAAAGCAAGAAAATAATGCAAAAATGTTTGAGGTATTTCGCGAAAAGCTACTCAAAAACAATCAGCGCTGGTCGTCTCTAATTTAGAAGTTATAAGACTAGTCACTAAGGGAAAGGAAATTAGTTAACACTGCAAACTCTTTTTACTGAGGAAAATTGGGATTGACCGGAACTTTATAACGCTCTCACGGATGAAAGGTCGAGCATGTTCAGTGACGGGATTCGATCTCATGATCTAAAGATTGCTAGTCAAGCGCTCCAACTACCAGACTAAAAATAATAATCATGCCGCTGTATCTGGATTTTGCTCCGAGTGGGATTAGAACTTTGAATTCTAATGTTACAAGTCTTGAAGCTTAAGGCTATGTATTCTAACAACAAAATAATCGTTTTTATATGTTTAATATTAAGTCATACACATCAGTCTGTTTCCATCTAGGACGTTACTATTACCTTCCTTACACATATTCTATTTAACATTTGCACATGCGCGAACCGATGTTAATTTTCTGAACATGGAATATATTACTGTCTGTTATTAAATCTCACTCCGCTAGTAAGAGTATTTTAAAATTATAATGCTTCAAAACTATTGCTTTAAAATAAAATCTCCTTTTTAATAATAAAAAGGAGCATCATTAACTTCGGAAATCACATTCAGAATAAATATATTGAATTAATAAAATCAAGTCATGTTTACTAATAAATTAATATTATTTCAATTTACTCTCAGAAATAAAAAAAAAATCATTCACACCAAACACAATATCGATAAGAAAATTTTTGTTTTATTCGAATACGAGGTAAATCATATACAAATGGTAGTGATAGTTCAGGTTTATTTACTACTCACAATTTATTTAAATATCAAACACTTGTTCTTCAATAAAAGTATTGACGTTAATTAATTCGTAGCAAACGAGTGTGAAAAGTCTACAACAAGATCAGTAAGTTTATTTGCTTGAAGCAAAGCAACATATTAGGCTGTAATGTATAATCACAAATTTCAGTAGATTCACGATCTTGTTTTCCCCACAATCAATGTCACCGAAGATTGAATTCTTATATCTCCAAAACAAATATTTATGCCCTAAAATCATTTCAAATATCCCACAACTGAATATTACCACTTTAGTCGTTCAAAACTTAAGAAAAATTTAACTAGTAATTGTTTATTAACATCACGATTAATAACATGTTTAAAAGTGAGGTTTTTCCAGCATAATTTATGGTGATTAAATTTATTCAATAAGCAATGAACACACTACTGTTAAATTTGTAAAACTTATTTTCTCTCTCTCTCTGTCTTCAATTACTGCTGGTCAATGTCAAAATGTTGGAGTGTGGTGGGGGTTTGTTACCTTAAATAGTTTAGTTAATTAAAATGTTGGAGTGTGGTGGGGGTTTGTTACCTTAAATAGTTTAGTTAATTTTAGAAATTTAAGTTTGGTTTGTTTGAAGTTAAGCAGCACACAGCTACACCATGGGCTATCTGTGCTCTGCCCACCACGGGTATCGAAACCCGGTTTCTAACGTCGTAAGTCCGCAGACGTACCGCTGTGCCACTGGGGGAGCAGAAACGTAAGTTAACTTATATTTCATTAATTATATTTTAGTACGCATTTTATACCGTTTAATAAAAATTTATCAAACAATGGTTACATTGTTAAAAATGTTAGTCCCTTATTTTTAAAAATTAACTTTCTTTGTCCATATCATTAAATTCAGTCTATTTATAGGTAGTTAACTTGCTTTGGGGGTCAAGTTACTGAGGATGCGACTAAATAAAACAATTAAAACATGATTATCTTTGCAACTATAACAGAACGATAAAAAGTACAACATATATGTCTCTAATTGTGATAAAATATTTGATCTCTCAAAGTTCGTGTATTAATGAAATAAGTTTGTACATAAAATAGATTGTCAATAGTCACACCTAAAGCAATAACTTTTAACCATTTCACAGGAAGGAATTCAGCAGCTTTTATTTTGGTAAGCATTACATGGTTAAGTCTCCAAAATGGGGTAAGGGGAAAAAATATATATATACATATACAATATAAAGACTTCACCAACAAATGTTAACTGAATAACTTTGCTAGAAAAAAAACCCTAAAAATAACAAATAACAGATAATTTCACCCCTATACATACTCAGAGCATAAATACACAAGATTTTGAAGTAAAGGTAATTAACTAAACAGGAAAACACAACTAAGAAATCACAAATGGGTAAAATATAAAATAACAACACATCATTTTTTTAAAAAAGTAAATAGCACATCTAAAAACATTATGTATAAAACAGGCAGTTCTGGAAAAACGTGTTTTTTTTTTGGTTATACGATTTGAAAACACTACTTTCTGCTTTAGTTAAACACACTAACTTTAATACAATTTAACCAGAGGAAGAGAGAAATTGTTTAAAAAAACTTTATGCATTAACAACCTATATATAGAAAAATACTTGTTTAACTTAAAGAGTACTAGATCCAAGTTTGGATTAAGAAGAATTTAGCTACGTGGTTGTTTTGAAATTGGTGCTCAAGAAATATCCGTGTCTGATGATTAGATGGGAAGGAGAGTTATCACCGACATGTGATCTGTGAATATTTATAGCTCTCTTACACCAAAACAATAGTTTTTTTAGTTCACTTGAAAAACACAGCAAAATCCAAGTACCAAAATGTAATCTTAAATAAAATTTCAGTATAAGTAATAGAATTAGCACTAACAAACTAAGTTATGCATTCCTACTAGGATTAACATAGTTTTAAAGGCAATAACTATTCATGTTCATAATATATATCAAACTAGTCATTTCTAATTTTCAAGATATTTTGCATATTATAACCAAAGATGTGGTCACGAAAACAAATAAAAAAATAGTCCAGTTGTTAAGTAACAATGTTTGGCTTGCTGTAGAGATACCTTTTCTGTTTCATAAGTGCTTGAGTTATCTCAGGTTTCTCGTCATGATTAGAAAACTCCGATGACGTACCTTATCAAATCAGCGCACAACTAGGAGAACTTACACGACTTTCAGGAAACTAATTTTCATTCCAATGACTCCCACCCCCCCTTAAAATATGTGCTGGTGTGCGTGTGGTCCGCAGTCTAAAACCACGGCTTACAGATTTTAATCCAAGTTTAAGAAAGCTTGATAAATACAAATCAACCACTAAGCTCTGGAAAAATACAACTAGGTTTTTACAGTCAGCTTTAAGTTGTTTTTTTTGTTGAAGTTATGGTGTTTAAACGAAAGCTGAATAATCTACATATCCTTTCCGATTTCTGAAAGGTAGTTTTGGACATTTAAGCTTTCATCTAAAAGTATTTCTAAAATGCTTCTCTTATAATAAATTCTGTACATTTATTTTGGTTCCAATGTATTCCCCACCCCCTCTAACATACAAAACCTACCGATCGCTGACCATGTTCTGCAGCTCATAAAAATATATTCATTGCAAAGAAATCAAACATAACTTTGTACAAATATTCTACATCAAGTTTTGAAAATGCTCTATTCTACAATACAACAGCTATATTAAAAATTAAAATACAAATTGTAAAAGGCATATAACTTTATACATAGCTAGTATATCAAATCAAGTAAAACACCTCTTTATCAATGAAACTTTTCATGACTTTCAACAGAGTAATTAACAGATCCTCTTTAACTGTCACATTTCTAGCATAAATAAGAACCATTTTGGTATTTTTAATTCGTAAGGTCTGAAATTTTTTAGGCAAAAAATAAATGTTAATCTACACAAACACACACACACATATATATATTCATATATTTGTAATATAGACTAATATGCCCTCAATAATTCAAATAATGTTATCTAACTTTTGGTCAATATTATATATCATAGTAAGCATAATAAAAAAAATCACTGTTGACCTAACACAAATGCTCTTCTGTGATAAGCTGGTCTTGAGATAAAAATTTTATTTAATTGATTTTATTTTTAGGAGTAAAAACTAAAACCTACAAGTACATGATAATGAAATGCTTTGTTCAATGGTGGTAAAAAAATTTGAAAAAGAAAAAAGAGAGAGAGATTGTTGATTGATTTTGAAATAATCACACATCATAGCTTCGATTATTAGTACCGACTTCAAGCTATTATTAATCAATCTAAATGGGGGAAAAGAAGTACAAAATAAGATTTATTTTAAAATGAAAACTGATAAACATATATAAATCTTATAATTTTAACTAGCACCATTAATCTAATACAAAAAAGAACCTATAACTAAATTCAAACATTTTCTTTCAAATTTTACAAATATGAAAGAAAAATACACAGAGTAAATTTGTTCTCTCTCTTTTTTTTAACACATGATCATCACACATTTGTTGAAGAACAACAACAAAGCCACATCTTCAGCAATGATGGAGTAGTGATTACAAATCTTATTTGTTTTTGGTGTCAGTGAATATTGAAGATTCATAGTGGTTTCTCTGGGTTTTAATAAATAATAGAAGGAGCACGGATGCTACATTTCAGTGACTCAGGTGGAACATTTTCATCTGAAGAGGGAGGATGGACAGCTATGTTTGGTACGTCAATCTCTGTACTGTTAAACACTCCTTATCCGTCACACAGAGCTACCTGATAATATGAAATTATACATTTAATAATAATAATAATATGGACAGCTATGTTTGGTACATCAATCTCTGTACTGTTAAATACTCCTTATCCGTCACACAGAGCTACCTGATAATATGAAATTATACATTTAATAATAATAATATGGACAGCTATGTTTGGTACATCAATCTCTGTACTGTTAAACACTCCTTATCCGTCACACAGAGCTACCTGATAATATGAAATTATACATTTAATAACAACACCCTTCAACCTATGGGAAGAATTTATAGCACCTGAATTTAAAAACAGGTCTAAAGTATGTTAATTTAAGAATCTCAGAAATAAATATCTAGACTTTAGTACTAAAAAACATTAATTGTGGTATCCATTAACAATATACAGTAATCACAGAAGGTGTGAGAATTTTAACGGACTACAACCGCCAGTTGAAACAAAAGGAGATGATGTTTTATACTTCTATACTGATGCCTAGATGCAAACCTCTGCAACTATTATGCCTATACTTCCATTGAAACACCATCTACCATAGTCATACCATACTAGTTAAACCTTCTTAATGTTTTCTTTTCTCCCATCAAATTTCGAAAGATTGTCAAAAGTTGATCTCGTATTTATCAAAATACTAGCAATAAGCACAAAATACGGTAACGGAAACAATTTTGGAGTCACAAACAGTAAGTAATGTCAAAGAGATGGTAAGTTTATGAATAGAACAAGAAACACAAAAGAAATGTGATCAACTTGTACAATCTACTACTATTTTTGTATGGGAGCCCTTTCCTTAATACACACAAGATTACGCTTTACTTTCAACCCCGAAGTACAGTCTAACACTGTACAATTGTGAAATATTGTTCCAAATGCTTCGTGTCACTTCCCGAACTTAATTTGTTTGGTTGCATTTGCTCATATAGCCATCAAGAATGTTCATTTCAGGACTTTGTGCAGGTCAATGTCTGATTATGAACACTCCACTGGCCCTATTTACTGTTATCATTTGACCACATTTTTACAGCATGCTTGGGATCACTGTCCCTCTGGATGGTGAATTCCCATTTAGTTCCTTAGGGAATGACATGGATAAAAAAAATCTGACTGTACTTGTCAGCAGTCAACGTGTCCCCACCATGCTTCACTGAAGATGTCCTTTGATTACGAAACTCTTTTCATCTATGCCATCGACCAAATTGTCCTGCTGTTATTGAACACTGATTCATGTGTAAAGAGTAAGTGTGTATCCACAGCTTTTCTCACTTCATCATTCGTGGTGCAATGTATCCCCAGCTTTGCTCACTTCATCATTTGTGGTACAGTGTATCTATAGCTTTGCTCACTTCATCATTTGTGGTGCAGTGTATCCCCAGCTTTTCCCACTTCATCATTTGTGGTGCAATGTATCTATAGCTTTTCTCACTTCATCATTCATGGTGCAATGTAT